TGTCACCTCTGAGACGTGCTTCCAACCAACTGCTGAAAGTCCTAATGTGTTCACATGTAATCCAGTCGTCGCACTGCTCCGGGTGTTTGGAGCGCAGACTGTTCTTGTGTTCATCGACATACGGGGTCACCAAGGTAGAGTTCTGTAGAACTGTGTAGTGTGCTTGAGACCAAGAATGCCCGTCCCTGCATATTATTGAGTCTGCTCCTAGCGTGCCTTTTCCAATCAGTCTCCCCTCATACCGCGATTTAGGGAGACCTATCTTCTTAAGGCCAGGAATGAAGTCAACACAAAACCCGATGACATCCTCTGTTTGATGGCCCGTGGAGATGCTTCCTTCTGACCTAGCACGGTTACGGACATATTTCTTTAGGACTCCCATGAACCTCTCAAAGGGGAACATATTGTGTAGAAATACGGGCGCCAGAATGACAATCTCGTCGACTAAATGAACTAGGACATGCGTCATGATATTGAAGAAGGATGGTGGGAACACCAGCTCGAAACTAACAAGACATTGCGCCACATCACTCCTTAGCCTTGGTACGATTTCTCGATCGATCACCTTCTGAGAGATTGCATTGAGGAATGCACATAGCTTCACAATGGCTAATCGGACGTTTTCTGGTAGAAGCCCCCTCAATGCAACCGGAAGCAGTTGCATCATAATCACGTGGCAGTCATGAGACTTTAGGTTCTGGAACTTTTTCTCTGGGATATTTATTATTCCCTTTATATTTGATGAGAAGCCAGTCGGGACCTTCATACTGAGCAGGCATTCAAAGAAGATTTCTTTCTCTTCTTTCGTAAGAGCGTAGCTGGCAGGACCTTCATACTTCTTCGGAGGCATGCCATCTTTTTCGTGCAAACGTTGTAGGTCCTCCCGTGCCTCAGGTGTATCTTTTGTCTTTCCATACACGCCCAAGAAGCCTAGCAGGTTCACGCAAAGGTTCTTCGTCACGTGCATCACGTCGATTGAAGAGCAGACCTCTAGGTCTTTCCAGTAGGGTAGGTCCCAAAATATAGATTTCTTCTTCCACATGGGTGCGTGTCCCTCAGCGTCATTCGGAACAGCTAGTGTGCCGGGACCCTTTCCAAAGATTACATGTAAATCATTGACCATAGCAAGTACGTGATCACCGGTACGCATGGCGGGCTTCTTCCGGTGATCTGCCTCGCCTTTGAAATGCTTGCCTTTCTTTCGACATTGATGGTTGGTCGGAAGAAATCGACGATGGCCCAGGTACACATTCTTCCTGCATTTTTCCAGGTATATACTTTCTGTGTCATCTAAACAGTGTGTGCATGCGTGGTATCCTTTGTTTGTCTGTCTTGAAAGGTTACTGAGAGCGGGCCAATTGTTGATGGTCACGAACAGCAATGCCTTTTGGTTAAATTCCTCTTGTCTGTGCTCATCCCATGTACGTACACCGTTTCCATTTCACAGCTGTAAAAGTTCTTCAACTAATGGCCTTAGGTACACATCAATGTCGTTGTCGGGTTGCTTAGGGCCTTGGATGAGAACTGGCATCATAATGAACTTCCGCTTCATGCACATCCAAGGAGGAAGTTTATACATACATAGAGTCACGGGCCAGGTGCTGTGATTGCTGCTCTGCTCCCCGAAAGGATTAATGCCATCCGCGCTTAAAGCAAACCATACGTTCCTTGGGTCCTTTGCAAACTCATCCCAGTACTTTCTCTCGATTTTTCTCCACTGCGACCCGTAAGCGGGTGCTCTCAACTTCCCGTCTTTCTTACGGTCCTCACTGTGCCATCGCATCGACTTGGCATGCTTTCCGTTTCTGAACAGACGTTTCAACCTTGGTATTATAGGAGCATACCACATCACCTTCGCAGGAACCCTCTTCTCGTGGGGCTCGCCGTGAACATCACCAGGGTCATCTCGTCTGATCTTATACCACAATGCACTGCATACCGGGCATGCGTTCAGATCCTTGTATGCACCGCGGTATAGGATGTAGTCATTAGGGCATGCATGTATCTTCTCCACCTCCAATCCTAGAGGGCATACGACCTTCTTTGCTGCGTATGTACTGTCGGGCAATTCGTTATCCTTTGGAAGCTTCTTCTTCAATATTTTCAGTAGCTTCTCAAATCCTTTGTCAAGCACAGCATTCTCTGCCTTCCACTGCAGCAATTCCAGTACGGTACCGAGCTTTGTGTTGCCATCTTCGCAATTGGGGTACAACCCTTTTTTGTGATCCTCTAACATGCGATCGAACTTCAACTTCTCCTTTTGACTTTCGCATTGCGTCCTTGCATCGACAATGACCCGGCGAAGATCATCATCATCGGGCACATCGTCTGGTTCCTCTTGATCTTCAGCAGCTTCACCCGTTGCAACATCATTGGGCACATCGTCTGGTTCCTCTTGATCTTCACCAGCTCCCCCCGTTGCAGCATCACGGTATTCAGGGGGCACATAGTTGTCATCGTACTCTTCTTCTTTGTCGTCTTCCATCATAACCCCTATTTCTCTGTGCCTCGTCCAAACATTATAGTGTGGCATGAAACCCTTGTAAAGCAGGTGGGTGTGAAGGATTTTCCGGTCAGAGTAAGACTTCGTATTCCCACAATCAGGGCATGGACAACACATAAAACCATTCTCGGAGGTGTGTACGCCCTTAATGTACTCGGAGGTGTGTCTGTCACCGTACATCCATTGCCAGTTCATCTGCGTGCATTATATATAATTAAGTGTCCAAATTAATGGAAGTCCATCATCACATTAAAACCAAAGTACATACATAGTTCTCATCTAACAACATATAGCTCTCCAGAGCATCTAATTAATTAAACCATACATTGAAACTATGTAACACATTTTAATGCGAAAACAAAGGCGATCATAATTGCAACCAAGGTAACAATTGATCCAACGACATAATAATACCAAGCCTCGGTATGAATGGCATATTTTCTAATCTTTCTAATCTTCAAGCGCATTGCATCCATCTTGATCTTGTGATCATCGACGACATCCGCAACATGCAACTACAATATCATCTTCTCCTCCTCAATTTTTTTTATTTTTTCCTTCAAGAAATTGTTTTCTTCTTCAACTAAATTTAACCTCTCGACAATAGGGTCGGTTGGAATTTTCGGTTCACATACATCCTAGATATATAAAATCTATGTGACGTTGGTCCGCATAATTTTCATAAACAATAAATGAACCAATAGTTATAAAGATAATATATATACCACATCCGAATCATAGACAAGACGAGGGCCGACGGGGGCGGATACCAAAACCATCACACTATATAAGATGCAATAATAAAAGTAAGAAAATTATACAAGTATCTATCTAAACATACAAGTAACAATATTTTTCCTTTCAGAAAGAAGATAAGAACAAGAGGCTCACCATGGTGGTGTCGGTGATGAGATCGGCGCGGGTGATCGACGGCGGTGAAGACGGGGGTGGGGCGTGACGGACCGCTTAATCTAGACAAATCTCGAGGAAAATGGAGCTTTGAGGTCGAGCTTCGAGAGGAGAAAGCTTAACTACTGTGGCTCGGGCATTTCATCGAACACCTCATGTGCATAGGAGGTGAGCTAGAGCACCACAAACCCCTCCCCTCACCGGCCAGAGAAAAACAGAGCACTGGAGTGCTCTGCTCGCGGGCGAGGGTATATATAGGCACCTCATTGGTCCCGGTTGGTGGCATGAACCGGGACTAAAGGGGAGCCTTTGGTCCCGGTTCAAGCCACCAACCAGGACCAATGGTGGTGGTCCAGGAGCCAGGCCCATTGGTCCCGGTTCGTCCCACCAACCGGGACCAAAAGGTCCAGACTAACCGGGACCAATGGCCCACGTGGCCCGGCCGGCCCCCTGGGCTCACGAAACGGGTCCAATGCCCCCATTGGTCCCGGTTCTAGACTGAACCGGGACTAATGGGCTGACCCGGCCTGGACCGTTGCCCCCTTTTCTACTAGTGGTAGCAAGACATCTTGTTGGAAAGTTGGTCGTCGGAACTCTGTGTACTTCTTTTTAGTGGTGAGATTCAAGAAACCAGCTGAAAACCCTAGGCATGGCTTTCAATGTTTGTTCCTGGTAGTGGTAATCGATTCTCGTTTGTTGAAGGAGTTGTTTGGAGTCTTCTCGAACTTTATGCCCTAGGTGAAAACCCATGATATTACCTATATGGTTAGGTCTAGCGACGATGGTGTTCACACACCATTACCTTCCCAGAGGTGTCACTATTGAGGACCTCTCATAGCCTTGATCTTGCCTATGGCAATGTTAGCTGTTGATGTAATGTTGCAGCGTGTTGTTAATTAGACTCCTCTTACGAAGAAGCATAACCAAGACGAAAACGTAAAGGTAGCTCTCATACCCATCTTAACATGAATTTAGGAAACATAAATTAATATTTTGAACAAGACAAAGTATAACTTCGCAACAGTATTCCCTCTTCTCTACTACTTTAAAAGGGATTAGTGTTTCTTGTACTGCCAGGCATAGTGCTTCTTTGAACGTCATGTAGGTAACCCTCCCTCTCTCTCTTTTGATTTTTAACATCCTATTACTAGGGGTTTTGATCGCGTTTCCTCAAAACTATCTTACCTTTTATTTACATACAAAATAAAATAGTATTTTCTTCGGTAAGAAAATAAGTTCTTATCAAATAAGTGATTTTTATTTTGGTACGTAAATCACGGAGATGGTCGGGTAAATCACACGCTAACGTAGTAGAATATTTGTATCACGTTGCAACACACAAGAAATTATCTAGTGATAATAATAACGGATATTTGGAGTGAAAACCTCCAAAGGAAATTATATTAAATATATACATAATCACATGATATCTATGGATCATGTTCCCACAATACACTCTAGTAGCATCTTTTTTATGGTGACTAGCATTATTAAATCCAAATATAAGTTTGGTCATCCACCATTGTTGCATTAAACATGCATTACTTCATGTTGGACATCTCTCATTCAAAAGTGTGACGTTTTGTGCTCACCTAGAATGGTCGACCTAAAATTTAAAGGCAATATATCAGCATCACTGGAAATATATAGATTATGTGTTACAACAGATTCGATAATATAGTGTTATGAAAATGAGAAGTAACAAGTTATACAATTGTTCTGTGAAGTTAAGAATAAAAGATGAATTTATAGCATCTTAAAATGTAAACCTTCTTACAATGTTGAATACAAATATGGATGTAATTGAGGAATTTCCTATTCATCTCGTCGTACCTACGCACCATTGTTAACCTATTCAATAATGTAAACTTCTCATGAATTGTTAGCCGTCGAAAAATACTAAGAATTATTCATTTTAAATTTTGGGAAATTATATCTTTTGAATACGGAAAAACTAGTGAACCGCGCATTTGCGCGGCTAGTATTTAATCATGTACGTACACATGATATTTTCGATTTGGATAGGGTCTCTAGATCAAAAGTTTTTTTTTTTCCTTTTTCATAGGAATATTCTATATAGATTTTTAGTACTTTAAATAAATAATTGATAAATTGACAACATTTTTGTTCGCAATCTAAATAATTAATTTTTGGCATTATAACACTTTAATTACATAAATAAAATTTAACCAAGAAATAAATATAAACATAAATGTCTTTCTTTCGAACCAAATGTCTTCTTGCTGTGTATGCATCATCATTAGCAGTGTGGTGGCTTGTGCATTTGTTCCCGTAGATTTATTACATATTCTCATTCCTAATATATATTTTTTGTCAATAATTTGTCTTTTGATGCTAGATGTTATTCGAATATATTCATCCATACATTGGCATTTTAACATGTCAAAATTTAGATGGAATCTTACAGAAAATTGAATTTCAACAAAACAAGTTAGTCAGCTCGATCGAATCATTTTTTGACTGTAGTGCAAAGCACTACTATTTTAATATTCTTACCAAAATCATACTTATATTTCTTTTGAGTCTGTACTCATCCTTTTGCCACTGCATCTATATTTTGACCAAAAGTGTTCTCTTTGTTTGGAAAGGATTATTAGGTGTCTTCGATGTGGGTTATTTAACAAGCCTTAGAAAATAAATTTTTTGCATTCCTACTTTCGGGAAAATCTATTTTTGCATGTTATTTTATGGCTATCGAGTATGATTTATTCTCGTAATATGTAAACAGATTCGGCCTGTTAGTTGATTAATTGTGTCACGGCAATGATGGTATTGCATGCACTTCATGCAATTCAGATTGCTACAGATTGATTTGCATTAAAGCCGATTTGGCTATTAATACACATATTCCTTTTACCTTTATTTTAAATCTCCGCTATCTAAATTAGGACCCATCATAAAATCATAATAGCAGATTATTTAGCCCAAGTGGACCAATATAATGTCTTGTATTAGATTTGTTCTCCTTGTACCTCGGTGAACGACCCAATAATTCCTTAATATCATACCATCTTGAGAGGTCAACACCCCGAGTCAACATGATATAGATGGATTCCGTTCATATGCCCGATGACATGTTGTTTTGACGATAGAATTATATTTAATTGTTTGTAGTTTCCTATCTACAATTTTAGCTTACGATTTTCATTTGTAATACATCAAAAACAAAATGACATATGAGATAAAAGGAGTTTGCAATCAATATGATGTTATTCTTCCACATTCAAGCCATAAATTTTTGTCTATATTAGTATAAAAATTTCAAAACATTGACTGTATATTTGTTTACATGCTTTATATGTTGCGAAGGATGATGTATTTTCTTTTGCATTTATGTTGTGTATGCTTTCACGGGGACTTCTCATGACTATTCTCAGTCAAAAAAAACTAAAATTCATACCAACCATTTTAATTAGAAAACATGTCATGATTCATTTGTAAAAAAATTGTGAGAAAAGAAATATAATTTTTTGGCACTTAGATTTTCAGGTATCTTCAGTATCAGTAGTCCATTCATTATTTATTGCCTCTAACATCATATTGTAGGCTGACTTTCTTATTTTTTAAAAGTGGTATATTGGTAATTTGTTTGTCTATGCTATGTACATACACATTTACGTTCTAATCTGGATAGAAAAACAAAATTGCTCGTGTATAGAGAAAGTTTGTTATCACACACTAATGTAGTAGTCTGGATTGATTTTCCTTCAACACAAAATAGGTTTCTGGATGTAGTACTGTGACTGGACTCCTATTTTCCTGCGGGCCGCTCGGGGACTCATGTATTATTGGCAGATATACGTTTTGTTAGCTGTCTGGTAGCCATGAATTTTTATTTTAGATGGAAGATGGCAATCCTACTTTTGCAATGCTAACGTGAGCTTTATATCTAATTATTGTCTTGGATAGTTTTTTATTAGGAAAAAACATAAGACTTTGATGTAACACGTGTTCAATTATTTTTGCGTGCCATGCCAAATTATTTGTATGTACCTATATTTGTATGTAACGTTCATATTTTAAATCTTAACCACTAATATATAATATTGATACTCGAGATAATTTAATAGATACGGAAGAATCATGATGGCTTGTTTGACTCTTGTTTTAAGTATATAATAGATAGGTACTAAGATTTATTCATTTCTAATTTTCTCTAAACACTTAGCCTCCCACTACCAGCATCAACTGGTTGCCGATTTTCTAGTTGCTTGCATAATATATTTTATCATACACTTGGCAAACACATCATTTGATTATTGTACCTAAAAACAAGCAGCAAAAAAATTTACACTCAGCATATCAATGATTTTCCCCCATTTTTACACTTAGCAAAGATAAGTTATTAGGTGAGTGTTTGACAAACATTTTCTTTTCTTTCCTTCTTTTCTTTTTTCTATTTTTCTATTTTTTAATTTTTTTCTCTTTCCTTTGACCTTGATCACGACATGGCGAATTAACTTTCATATTTTTTCTGTACTTAACATACACTAGTACATGTTTTGGATTAAACATTGGAATTTTTCGGGGTTTGTTTGCTATTTCAAGTCATTAAGTGCACTTCCAGGCATTTAATAAATGTAACTCAAATTCTAACGAAAATACATGAAATAATGGCCAAAAATGAGTTGAAATTATGTAATTCTGTTATTAAGTTTATGCTGCTCTCTTATCCAAAAAATAACTAATTTCAAATATCAAGGTGCCAAGACTCGACTACTAACATGGAGCTCATTGTCTTTTTAATTCTATAAGTGGACGACATTTGAGAAATATGAAACTTGGCATGACATCATGATATGGCATCTACAGGCAGTGGTAATTTTTTTAGAAGGTTTCACAAAAGTTGTGATGTGCGCCGCATAGAAACCAAACTATCTACGAGTAATAGTCATGGTTATGAGAGGGAACCGGTCAAGTTTTCAAGCGAAGTGACGGTTTCATTCACCAGTTTGCCTTGAAACCATTTCTACAATCAACATATACCATTACATTTTCTATGTAAAAATTGTGTGTTTTTCTCGGTTTGTTCACTATATTTAAGTCCTTAAGTGCATTTCTAGGGATTTAATGCATATAGTTAAAATCTGAAACAAGGGCATGAAAATGCGGTCGTAAAGGAGTTGAATTTGTTTATTTGTGTTATTGATTATATGTTCAGAACTTATCTAGGAAAATAAAATTAATTCCAAATCAGGGTGCTAGGACTGGACAACCAACATGGAGGTTATTGCTTTTTCGTTCTAAAGAATTGCAAATGAGGTCTAAAATAGTGAAACTTGGTACAGTGTCATGAGATGACACCAAGAGTCTGTGATAAAAATGTAGAAGGATTCACAAAATTTGGCATGTAAATTTCTTAGAAACTAAACCAGCTTGGAGAAAGAATCGTGGTTTCGAGAGGGAACCAAACATATTAGAAGGCAAACTATGGTTTTTCTTCATGGGTTGGCCCTAAATTGTTTTTCGCCCTGAAAACATATTGTTACATCTTCTGTGTGAAAAATATTGCATTTTAGGAAGTTCGTTTGCTATATTTAAGTTATTAAGTGCATTTATATGCATTTAACTGTTATAATTAAATTTGAATTTCTCATACACAAAACAATGGGTATAAATTGGTTGAAAATCAGATTTGTTTAGTGAGTTTCCTTTCAAGCCTTATAAAAAAGGAATTGCAAACCGCAGGGTTCCAATACTCGACTATCAACATGCAACTAATTGGTCGTAATTTTTAAATAATGCAAGTGATGTCTAAAAAACCTGAAACTTGGAATGGTGTCTTCATGTGAAAGCTGGAAGTTGTTGTAAAAAATTGGGGACGTTTCACAAAAGAAATGTCATGTAAATTGTTTGTAAACCGAACCATCTTCAAAGAAGAATCATTGTTTCATGAAGAACGGGTCAGGTTTTAAGGAGGTGATGGTTGGTTTCATCAGTTGATGTTGAAACTTTTTTTACACTCAATATACACCATTATGTATTCAAAGTCAAAATTTAATGTTTTCTGGGTTTGTTTGCTATATCTAAGTCATTAACTGCATTTCTAGGCGTCTAACAGATATAATTCAAATTTGACTCCAAGTACATGAAACAAAAAGCAAAAATGGGTTGAAAAATATTATTTTATCTCATCGAGTAGATGTTTAGGACTTATTGAAGAAAATAAAAGGAATTCCAAACAATATCATGCCAAAATTCGGCCACCAACATGGAGCTTATTCGCTTTTTGATTCTGTAAAATGCAAACAAAGACAAAAAGACATGAAATTTAGCATGATGTCATGATCTAACAACTAGAGGGGGTGTTAAAATTTTGAGAATCTTGTGCAAATTTCGTGACTTGCTCTTCTTATAAACCACAACATCTATGAGGATGAATCACGGTTTTTAGACGGAGCCGGTCATGTATAAATCTAAGTGAGAGTTGCCTTCATCGGTTCACGTTGAAACTTTTTCTACACTCAACATACAGAACTACATCTTCAATGTAAAAATTTGCAAAAAAAAAAATTAGGTTCGTTTGTTATATTTAAGTCATTATGTACATTCCTATATATTTAAAGGATTAAATTAAAATTTGAACTGCAAGCACATGAAATAATGGTAAAAATGGGTTGGAAATATTGTTTTTGTTGATTCTATGATAGGACTTATCCAAGAATAAATAGAATTCTAAATATCAAGGTGCCAAGACTCAACCACCAACATGGAGCTTAGTGTTTTTTATTCTAAAAAAGGCCAACGAAGTTTGAAAAATATGAAACTTGTCATGATGTCATATATATAATGATACGTAGAAGATGTGCCAAGAGAGAAGGGGAGAAATGAAATAAAGTAAAATAAAAAGGGAAGAAAAGAAAATAGAGAAGAAAAATTTTGCCGAGAAAAAAACACTTGGCAAATTGTCTGGTGAAGAAACATACTATCCACGTGTTTCATCCTGATTGGTTGCGAGAAGGAGGGAGGGTCCATGACATGGCACACCAGAAATTTCCTCTCCTTCTCTCACCTCGGTCTCCTCTTCTAACACACTCCTTGAGACCACCGCCAGCTCTTCCTACATTTATCCTTATTCTCCCACCACTCCATCACCATCTCCTTCTTCGGACGCACCGTCATTGTCTGTTGCACCGCCTCCTTCACTAATGGCCTCTACTTCCCCTCCACTAGAGGCATTGTCACCTCCTCTTCCGATGGCATCCCTTCCACCTCCAATAGCGCAAGCAATGATAGTAGAGAGTGCACACCTGGGCTGCGTCAGGAGGCTACTTTTTTTGCCACTGTTCATTCGCTTTGCCGACTGTATGTGCTAAGAAGAGTCTTCGCCTTAACCCTATGCTTACACTCAGCGAACCATTCGGTTTCAGGGTTTTCTATCCTCTATTAATTATTTTGAATGAGCACAAATCTTTGCTGAGCACAAAAGGAAGACTCGGCAAATGTTTTTTCGAGTATCCGCGAAAACACACTCGACAAAGGTGTCTTTGATGGACGGACTTTAGACATGTGTGCTTTGCCTAGTACTTTTTAACCTTTGTTGAGTGTTTTTGGCACTAGATAAAACCGTCGTTCCAACAGTGTATGAAAAATAGTAAGGTGTATTGCTTTCTAATTTAGAGAAATTAACTCTTCTTAATAGAAAAGCGGTGTGTCCAAACGTAATTCATACCTCCGCATTTTTTGGTAGTGCTTTGAGCCTGTTGAGAATGTAGTCTATGGAAGGTCTCTTATCCTGATCAATCTCCACACATTGTAGAGCAATATCGATACATGCTTGTACTTGATTCAAACCTTGTTCTTCCAACAATGTGTACTCAGACATTATTTTCTCCATTGTCCAATTTTCTTTTACCTACATAAAATTTGAAAATGTCCTCCTTTAATAATGTACATAAATTAATTGTAAGATAATATTCTCAGTTTCAGTCGACAAATAATGAAGTGATATTTATTCTTACTCCATCAACATATTTCCTTGCATGTTTCTGGTCAGAGCTATTCTTCTCTCTTGTGGAGATCTCCATTATGATTAGGCCTAAGCTATATATGTCTGACCGAGCCGAGATTTCACCACTATATAGATACTCCGGGGCCATGTATCCACTAATGGTATCAACATCAAAATATTAATCAATATTATTAGTTGGAGATGCGAAAAACAATTTTACATTACAATATATGAACAAGGTAGTTGATATATCAGCATAATAATCATAGAGTAACTCACACTGATCCCACGACACTTCGCGTGATCTTTCGGGTATGATCTATGCCGAATATTCTGGAGAAACCAAAATCCGCAATTTTCGGTGCCATGTTGACATCTAGTAATATATTTTGCGGCTTCAGACCCAAATGAAGAATGGGACGAGGCAAGGTGTGTAAAAAATGTACACCTTTGCATATTCCCTTTATTATTTTGAAGCGAGTCCCCCAATCAATGATACTGGACTCACCTGAAATACTTGCCATAGAGCTTTATAACTTATATAGGATAGTAGATCCAAATGATAATTATCTCTCAGAATATTAACGACAAAAAGATTTTGTGAAGTGAAAAATCTCCACCAAAACAACAAAATTCTTCTATTGATAATGTGCAATCTTTTCTTGCTCATTGATATAATGGTGCGAAAATTAGAGGAACTTTTTCCTAACCATGCTAAACCTGCATGCAAACCACGCAGCACAGTAAATATTTGAAAAATAGCTCGGATAGTAAATGATATGACATACCAAAAAGATTCTTGTCAAGGCTTCCCTGAGGTAAGTATTCATGGCAGAGTAAAGTGTCAGTAATCTCTGCAGTAATATATCGTTCATTGATCTGAACCAATTTATTATTTGGTTCACGGCAGTATGCAACCATCTTGACAATATTTTCATGTTCAAGCCCCATAATATTCTGAACCTCATTCGCGAATTTTTTCTCACATGGTACTGGTGAATTTTCCGCGAGTTTCTTCACAACCACCACTTCACCACCGTCCAGAATCCCCTGTTTAATGTCACGTAAAACTAAAATCAACCTTATCATCTCTCCAGATTAACCATTGAATTGACAGAAAAAAGTTGTGAAAAAATCATACCATATAAACTGACTCAGACGCGTCTTCACGAAGTTGTAGGTCCTTGGAGAAGTTCTTTGTAATTTTATTCAGAAAGTCTAATGGTAGTTCACTCGGTAGGCTCTTCAGGGTTACGCCTCCGGTGGCCATTAATTGATGATGGTGTAGGAAACTACAGATGTGAGCAATTACGACTTCCAATTAACCAAAGCAAGGAAGTTTCCAAACAATATCAGACTAAGTATGCACAAGTAAGCCGTATCTGGAAATAAATTAAGCAGTTCGACAAGTGCTCTGACCTTGGAGAGGAGCTAGCGCTCGATCAGGGAAGAGAACACCAAGAGGGGGAATGAACTTCAAATCTGAGATGAATAGACTCCTTGCTGCTGGTGCCTCTAGTATATAAAGCAAACCAAGGAGATATTTTTATGACCGGTTGACTTGACTATTCTTAGCCAAAAACATGTTATTTCACCAGCTGGGTCCGCCCTTGCCAGTAGAGGTGGTTAGTTCTGGTGTTATTTCCGATGCAGCTTCCTTCAACTGATAATTTTGGTGGCAGGCATGAACTTGCCTACTAACATGTGCATGTAAGTTAAAAGGCAAAATTGACAACAAATTGTAAGTTGCCAGAGTTTTTTTTAACACAACGCAAGCGCTTATATACACGCGCATACACTAACCCCTATGAACGCACACACGCACAGCCTACCCCTATGAGCATCTCCTAAAGACTGAGCTGGTATATCATCTTGAAACTTACAAAGTCGCGTAGGCACCTCGTCGTCGACGGGAACGTCTCCTCCCACTGAAAGCGCAGCCGAAAATTCTGAAATAAATCCAGGAATAAATGCGAGCACCAGAATTTGAACCTTGTGGGCTGGGGATACTACAGTCCCTCTAACTATCCAACCACAGGTTGGTTCGCGTAAGTTGCCAGAGTTATTAGTCATTACCATAAAGTAAGGAATTTTTTTTGAAAGGTCATATTAAATAAAAATTTACATTAAATTGACTTTGCACACTTGTACGCGAGTCTTCACTATCTCCAACTTGTATCCCTACCATACCCTTCTCCATGAAGGAAAAACCGGGTGTACTCCTATAGATCTCTCTTAGAGCGTCATCAAACAAAAACAAAAAAACATTGATCCCTCTCACTCTGGTATTGCCAATTTTCCATCACCCGCAGTGCCCCTGCCCCTGCCCCCAAGATAAGGATGCATGCCGACACGTCTGCGAAGTTCGCGACCGTCCGCGTAAGTCGGTTTTATATTTCCACGGATATTAAAGCAGCATGATTAGATTATTTGTGGCATCGCGTCATCCTATATCCACAGATGCATGCGGACACGTCTGTCTCGCTCCTACCAACATTCAAAGAGAGCATCTATAATATCTTACGCGTTGGTTACCATGTTCACACCAGACCTCCCGTATCTTTACAAACCAGTACTAAATATTCGATGTATTTTTTGTACTCCAGTCCACAGACTTAGCCATCCCTGAATCACCGGTTCGATTCCAATGTCCATCTCCTAGGAAAAAACTGTCTCCAAGAATTTTCTCTTCCCCACCCGGCCACCCCCGCCCATTGTCCTCGCTATAGAAACATGCACCTTCGCTGTGTTCTACTCCCTCTAGCCGCATTTGTTGAATATACGAGCAATTTGCCAATAAGTTTAATCTAGAAATTTGGAAGGTAAAGTTTCATTCACATATTATATATATGATAGTCTTGAAATTCCTACATTATATCCTTAGTAGGGTAATAACATTCAAACTATATTTTTCTTTGTGGTTTGACTTTGATTTGAACATATATATTACTACCTGTCTACCTCCATTTTTGTATACAAAGCCAGTTCATATTTTTATGACTAAATTTGATTATTAATTTTACCAACATAGTGTGAGTTATTTGGCACCAAAAGTATGCTAATGAATGCACATTTCAAAGAACACTTTGATGATATATTTGTGATGACACATAACTCATTTTTTCTACCAAAATTATAAATCAAAGTTTGACACGAAAAACAAAGTGGCATAGTATAAAAAATTGAGGGGATACGATTCATGAAGTTTTCTTATTCATGTGAACTAAACATATGAATTGACAAAATTTATTTGTTTGCCAATCCTTCATTGTGAAGGGAGCCTTGGTGCTCCGGTAAAGTTGTTGCCTTGTGACCATGAGGTCACGGGTTTGAGTCCTGAAAACAGCCTATTGCAGAAATGTAGGGAAATGTTCCATACAATAGAACCAAAGTGGTAGGACCCTTCCTCGGACCCTACGCCAGCGGGAGGCTCGTGCACCGGACTGCCCATACTAATCCTTCCTTTGTATACATGCATTCGTAATTTTTCCTACTTGTACGCTTTACTTCTTAGAATCCTACGAACCAAAGATCCTAAGAGCATCTACAACCCGATACACCAAATCCGACCGCTCAAATGCCTGTCGACACGTCGCGTCTGCAGACAGTGACCGCTCACACCTCAAATTGTCGATTCCACAAACTGGATACCTCAATTATGAATCCCCAAATCCATAGAATTACATGCACATGAAATCTAATATTGAGCGGGGCTTGTCCGGCTCTGCCCCGTTGATATGTCATGGCTGGTTGCACCCCTTGGAGTGTCGGTGAGGTCTTCGGCGAGTTATAGTAGGACAAGGGACATGGACCAACTCACGGTACTCGAGGCGTCGACGTCACCCATGCCCTAATCTTTTTCATCGGAGCCCCTCACCTGCACATGTTGCAGGTCGATGTGAGGTTGAAGATGGCTCCGGCTTGGTTGAGGAACAACATATCCATCACAACACGGTTGCGGTGCCCGGGGTTATCAGCGCCGGAGAGTGCGACTCCGCCTCGCAGATGTCTGATGTGGCCTCCCGCGCCCTCAGCCTCGCACGACAGGCCATAGCCTCAACGGACGGGCCACGGAAGGCATGCGAGTCGGTGCGCCAGCAGAGGGGTTGCGCGTCTACGGTGTTTGGATGCCAGATGGAGCACACCACCACTGGCGTGCCAGCAGCGACACGCGTCGCACCGGATGGAAGCGGCATTTGGGTGGACACTATCGAGTTCGACCGTGGTCGAGCGTTCTCCTCACGGACACGGCGGAGTGCAATGCAAACGGCCATCTCCTACTCGGGCCTGACTAGGATGAGGTCGCAGTTCATACATCATGTGACGGAGGACAGGGATATGCTACCCGCCATGCCGGAGAAGACTGGATATCGTCAGAAGGGGGTTTGGCGGTGAAGTGAAGTGGCTAGGGTCTAGTTTGGCAAACTGATAGGACGAGTATATGTGAGGCCGGGTGGGCCGGTGTAGGCCAGATCCGACGTGGCGGGCGCGCCCGGGCCTCCCCATATCCGACCTAGATTTGGGCTATATATGAGGGATGACGGTCAACTCGGGTGTTTGGAGCGCGTACGAGACATCCGTCTTGGTCGACTTTTTTCGACCAGCTAGTGACCGAACCATCCGGCCGAAGGTATAAGAGGGGTTTGAGGCGCCCGGCTTTAAATGCTCTAAGTCCTTGTCCTTGGGACGGTGCCTGCTGGGCCCAACTTGGCTGCCGTGTCACTTCTTCAAGACTTACTTTGTCTAGTCTTCGCTAGGCTCCAAGCCATGGTCCCCATCATCAGTATATGTGGTGTGAAAGAATGTTCCACTCGCGTGTGAAAGAAAATTCCACTCAAAATCCGTTCAGCCGTCTACTAGTCAAAGTCACGAGTATAAGTGGCTCAGCTCACTGCCAACAAGTCGGCACTTTGGAAGCACTTACCTAGAAAGCCAACACATGCAGCGTTCAATGAAATCTCATGTGCCTCGTTGCTCGTAGGAAGACTTTGCTGAGTCTTTCCTACCAAGCCTCTATAGAGAGCCCCAACCGTGTTTCCCAATCTCCATCGAAATAGATTTTTGACTCGCTTTATATTATCGCCCAAATGTATTCTGAATGGAATTAAATTCATTATTTCTGTAAAAGAAATTGACTATATACGTTGCCTGGTTGCTATAGTTTTTTTTTTTTGAGGAAGGCCTGGTTGCTATAGTAACATCCTATTCCCCGACCTATGGGGGAACTAGTCAGGAAACCCACAACCTCCATCCCGCAACACTGAAATGGGTCTGTCCAAGACAGCGAGTTCGACCGAGCTTGCCTGATGTTGTCGCTACAAAAGAAAATTCTTGCCTGATGTTTTTTATTGCTTTTCCAGCTTCTTTCTTGCAGAAACAGGGCTATCTGGAGTAGGGTGTTTCGGTGCCCAGGCTCATCTGCACACGGTTAGAAAAAAATCGTAAAAAAATCAAAAAAAATCAAAAAAAAAATTCAAAAAATTTCATATTTTTGTGCAGTAGACAATTTGATGTGTGAGGCCGCTACAAATTTCAAGTCATTTGGACATCTGAGCATCAGCAAAAAAGACAAATCGGGCCAAAACAATAAATGAACAGTAACATTTTTACAGACCCCCAATTTGTCTGTTTTGCTGAGAGCTCCTCAGATGTCCAAATGATTTGAAAATTAGAGCGAAACTCACGTATCAAATTCTCTACCGCACAAAAAAATTGATTTTTTTTAAATTTTCTAGTATTTGTTTTGATTTTTTGTCAGGGCGGGTGCAAATGAGCTCGGGTACAAAGATCGATTTTCGGGCTATTTGTCAGTTTCTTTCATTTTGGCATGCTTTCTATTAAAATATTTAAATATCAATTTTTTAGTGGAATTTAAAAAATCACGGATTCAACAATTTTGGTTTTTTCCAAATTTCAATAATATTCACCATTACAAAAAATGTTCACGAATACTAAGAACTTGTTCGCAATTCAAAAAAATGTACAACGAATAAAACATAAAAACCACTTTATAAACTTTTCGTGAACTCAAATAAATTCACGATTTCAAATATTGCTGTCGAATTGAAACCAAGTTTTGTGAATTCAAGAAATACTTTCAAATTTGAAATGTGGTTGCTCAAAAATATTCAGGAATTTCAAAAACAATGTAGATTTTTTTTTAAAATGGTCATCCATTCAAAACTGTTCGTAGGTTTAAAAGTATTCAGAAAGATGAAAATTCATGAATTAAAGAAATGTTTGTTAGTTTGAAAAACATGGTACGGATTT